CACACACACACACACACACACACACACACACACACACACACACACACACCCCTCCACCCCCTTGTGCGACCTCCTCGTCCTTCCTCGCACAAACTACTCCCCCTAGCACGACCTCCTCCTCCCACTGGTGCGACCTCCTCCTCCCTGTCCTGCACGACGTCCTGCAACCTCTCGTCCCCAGTGTGCAACCTGCTCCTACCCCGTGGACGAACCACTCCTCCCCCTCTTCGGACCTCCTCCCACTTGCACGTCCTCCTCCTCCCCCTCGCGCGACCTCCTCCCCGTCCCTGCGTGACCTGCTCTTCCCCCTCGCATATCGTCTTCCGACCTCCTCCTCCCCCTCACGTGTCCTCTTCCGACCTCCTCATCCCGCTCGAGCGACCTCCTCCCACCTCTCTTCCAACCTCCTCCTCCCCCTGGCACAACGTCCGCTTCCCCCTTCCACGACCTCCTCCTCCTTGCGCGACCTACTCCTCCCCTCGTACGACCTCCTCCAACCCCTCTTCTGACCTCCTCCTCCCCCTTGTGCGATGTCGTCCTCCCCCTCGCAACCTCCTCCTTCCCCTCTTCCGACCTCCTCCTCCCGCTTCCACAACCTCCTCCTCCTCTTTCTCTCTAGAGGCCGTACATGTGAAGTCAGTCTCTCTCTCTCTCTCTCTCTCTCTCTCTCTCTCTCTCTCTCTCTCTCTCTCTCTCTCTCTCTTGTCTGGTAATAAACAAACCAGAACCTGTTCCATGAAATGAGGTATTAACACTGTGAAGCAAATGGCATTGATCGCGCGAAACTCCAGAATTCCAAGTGCAAGGCTCCACATCTGTTTGATTGAGCACCGAATCCCCATGCGTCTGCACAGTGGTATACGAAGCCTGACATGTGACAAACTAGCTGCACCTAAAATTCCCAAAAGCTGCAAGGTTTATCGGATTTTTGATCTGACAGTGAAAGTTCATACAGAGCCTCCAAAATTTCAGGATGCTGACAAATGCCGGCTTTGCTGTGGGGCTTATTTCTGGTGGTCTAATGCAAAGTTGCAGTCAGCTACTTCGCCAAACACCATTAAGTGCCCGCAAATCTGGACATCCTCCCCTAAAACAGAATCGAAAAGGAAAGTGGAGGCCAAAGTTCGCAGTGGCCTCACGAAACTACCAGCCCTAAGCCTGCAACTGAAATGACACAGGGTTGAATTTTTCAGGCTTCGTTTGACAATCCGGCAACATGAATCCACAGCTTTCCTTGAGGCCTGTGGAGTCCTCATGCGACAGAAGCAGCACCGCCGCCGAAAGCATTCTGTTCCTTTCCTATGTTCGTCAACAAATGCCAGCCAGAACATCGCAAGCGTAGGTCATACATAAGCTACTCCTGAAGGGAAAAAAACTGTGAGTATGTTCACAAGAGCGAATTTCATCCTGCAGCTCTGCGAGTGTCCTTATCAATCATTTCAATGTGAACACCGTGTGTCGTCTTGTTTACCATGATGCACAAGTCCACAAAAGAAGCACGACTGTGCCAGACTGTTTCGTCAGACTTGCATCAACTCATCAGGAGGTTGAACCCTGACAGTCCGCCCAGGATGGATTTGACTGATGGATAAGTGCCTCACCATGTCGGGAATGATGCTGCCCAGAATTCACGATGCCTCTGAGAAAAGTGGTTGACTGTACTCACACCAACCCTGCGATCCTAGCAGACTGTGAGTCCAAACAGCTGACAACAATGACAGTGAGTCTGAGGAACTAACTACCGTCTTCACCCGAATAGAACGCCTGGTCATTATAGCCTTATTTGGGACAGCTTTCGGTCCAGATGCGGCCATAATGATGACCGGCTGTTCGATTCGGGTGAAGACGGTAGTCTGTTGTATAGCCAATCAAACTCACTACACAGCAGGCATGTGGGGTTATCCAGCTGGCATGAAGTGATTGACGGACGTGGCAACATGTTTCCAGCCCCATTTACTGTGGTGGCGACCTAGTTCGAACCCCAGTTACCGCCGATGCAGTGGCGGTGGTTGATGGAAGCGGGTTTGGAAACAGGTTGCCACAAGCTGTAGTGTTATTCGATTGGTTAGAGATTCGCCCACAGAACATAACCTGGAAAGGAGGATGCGGTTACAAGAGTGAGTAAAGGTTCGAATGGAATCGCATGAATTGATGCTGGTGAAGAGGGTTTAGAAGAAGGTCTGAGAATCTAGATTTGCCTGTCTTTTTCTGTCCCTGTTTCTTTTGAGTTGTTCTGAAGATGGTTTACGTAGTAGGAAGTCTGTTGGAGCAGTGCCTATTGCTACTTACTCATGTCCTGTTGTTGTTTCTCCTCCCTTTCTCCTTGGGACGTATGGGTAGCAGGAACGGAGGAGGAGGAGGAGGGGGAGAAGGAGGAGGAGGAGGAGGAGGAGGAGGAGGAGGAGGAGGATGGCATACAAAGTCCCTGACTGTGGGTGATTGTGTCTTGCATGTGCTCATTTTCTTGTGTTTTAGCCAGTGTTCTTAGGCCTCAGCAGGACTGAAGGTACTGATCTGCCTGTTCAGGGTCACAGGAGGATGATCGCCGGTAACCGATTTCAGCCTTCTTGACAAGAGACATGCACATATGAAAAGACAGAAGTGATATTTACGGGTTATCCTGCAGACTGACGCTGCCATCAGAGTTTGGCAGTGTCAGTCAGTCTGACGTGTTGATCTTACCTGGTTTGAGATGGCGATGGCAACAGCCTCCGCAGGCTCAGCCTGCCGTTTTGTATCGGCATCTCGGTCTGCAGCCTGTGTGGTTCTTCCCAAAGGTTCCTGCACATCCAGAGGCAGCAATTGGAGCATCGAGTGCTTTCACGCACAGAATCACGTTGTTCGGACCGCTTTGTGCTGTCAGCAATCCACGAGCACAGCTAATCACCAAAAATCACGCCGTGTAAACGCAAATGCAAATGGGATGACATGTGAGTCTATCGTCCGAAGGGGCCTCCGAGTGTCCAAGGCAAGGTCTTCCTTCCTGTCCTCACCACTTTCTCACAGGCAAGGGCAGGAGCACCACTCACATGGATGTTGTGGCGTGAGGGTTGGCAATGGAACTGGCAGGAGAGGAATGGTTTACTGCATGGCCACCACAAGTGCCGTCGACAATACCACACTCACCCCTGAAGTGGAGCAGGTGTGTGGGGTCTGTTCGGTCAGAGGAACGGAGCGGGCAACAATGGAAGACACATATACCATCTCTGTTGACATAACTGGAGCACGTCCCTCTTTCTTTGGTGTGTATGATGGGCATGGAGGTACTGCTGTGGCAGAATACCTGCAGAACAGCTTCTGGGGAGTGTATGAGAGAATCCTCTCTGAGACAGAAAGTGCAGACCTGCTAGCAGATAGAACTAGACAAGCTTATCTTGAAGTGGATAAAGAAACTATTGCACCTCAGAAGGGCTTCTTCGGAGCCTTCAAAGAGAGGGGCATGGGTGGCTCGCGGTGCGGCTCGACAGCAGCCACAGCTGTCTTGTTAGGCACACCTGATGGCCAGCAGAAGCTGGTTGCTGCAAATGTCGGTGATGCCCGGGTGGTCCTGGCCCGGGGAGCCCAGGCATTGCAGCTCACGATCGATCATACTCCAGATCTCGAGTCCGAAAGGAAGAGGATAGAAAAGAAGAATCCCACTCCAAAGAAACCACTCGTTGTCAATGTCGACGGGACCTGGAGAATCGGAGGACTACTCGCACTCTCCAGGTCGTTTGGTGATGTGTATTTGAAAACCTGGTCGGATGGGAAAGATGCCTCCGGCGGCTTTGGTCTCATCTGCGAGCCGCATGTAACAGTCGAGACAATCACATCTGCCGACAAGTTTCTCATAATGGCTAGTGATGGCTTGTGGGAGTTCTTGTCCAACCAACAAGTCGTTGATCGATGCCTATCTCGATCGCCCGAGGAGACTCCCACCCAACTGGCCCAGATTTTGACCCAGATGGCACAGGCTGCTGGAACTACGGATGACATTACAGTAATTGTCGTCGAACTGCCTGGAGCTTCCGTACGCTTATAGGTTTCTCTGCCACTCATCCTAGGATGCCTTCCCACTTAGCAATCACTGGTAGTCGACTGTTTGCCGCAACAACTCTCCCTGATGCTCGGGGCGATCTGTTGCAACGTTTCATAGACTGTCGCTTCATCATCTCTACGTCAATCGACCACCGTTGGTCAGCATCCCGGGTCCATGCAGCCATCCATGGAGCCCGTCCATGCTGGTCGATCCAAGTGACTCTCATCGTGGCCATCACAGCTCCTTGGATACTCAATCAGTTTAACTCTCACTCTCTTGTAGAGGTGTTCTGCTCAGAGCATCCCTTCTCTCTCCTTGCATCCCATACTGCCTCCTCCCCACTCTTCCGTCCTCGGTTCTTTCTCCCTTACGTTCCCCCTACTCCCTCCTGGCTCCTTCATCCTGCCTCTTCTCTTCCTTCTTCATCCTCCTTTGCTCAGAGCACTGCTTCACTCTCCTTGCACTTCACAATGCCTCCTTCCCACTCTTCTGTCCTTGGTTCTTTCTCCTTTACCTCCCTCCTTCTTCCTCCTCCTTGGTTCTTTCTCCTTTACCGCCCTCCTCCTTCCTCCTGGCTCCTGTGTCCTTCCTCTTCTCTCCCTTCTTCCTTCTCCTTCCTCTTTCCTCGTCCTTGCTTGCTCGTCCCTAAGGTGTAACCAGCAGGAGCACTGTCTATAAATAGTAAATACACACTATACTGCCTGTGGCGAACAACAAGGCATCCATCCTTCTGACAAATGGTCAGCATTAGCTCATTAGCAGTTTCTTCACTGCTTCCTGAGGCCAGATACCATTAGTCGGAATGAATGGCTATAACCTCTATCTCCATTTCCATTGATAGATTCACACTGCCAAGCAGTCATTCGAAGCACCTCCGTACCAAAACTGCTTTGCTGTAAGGGGCCAAGTCTGACACAGAGGTCAGGGCAAAGTTTGGCGCCGTTGACAACATACACGTGTCATAGTCTCATGGCTGTGTGCGGTGCGGATTCTCCTTTCTGTATCACAATTAACTTGTGGTTAGAATACGACGAATGTCAAGCACGCAAAATGAGAAACGTTCGTAACGACTTTCTCCTGGTTTACAGATTGGTGTAATAATCATTGGGCATGTCAGTTCCTGTCAATAATAGTTTTTGTATGCAAACAGATGGGCCTCTGGATGGGAGGGGGAGGTGCTCTCCAGGGATGACTTGTTGAGGAAGAGATAGTGTATCTGCATGAAAGTTTCAGTGGAAGGTTTCACTGAATTGAGACATGGCAGGACTCGGTATGAAGACCTGAGGCGCCTGTACATCTCACGGCGATGGATCTCGGGCAGGGTGTGAGGAAATGTGAGAGCTCTAAGCTTGGCTAGGGACCTCTGGAGGTAATGGGAGTTCGTCTGTAGGTGTGCGATTTCATGCATTCATTATGCCTTTGTTTTTCTTTCTTTTACTTGACGCCCCATGTACTGGGTCATGCTTATAAGGGCTTGAGGAGCCACATCCTTCGCCATAAAAGGTTTCTGTTTTTGTTTCAGAAACAGAGGTAAGCCCCTTAGGGCCTTAACATTATTTTTGTACCCAGCAGGAATTAAACTCTTGATTTGTTTATTGGCAGTTAGCAACACGTGTGTAGCATTCTGCAGCCAGGGAGGTACACGAGGAGTTGCAATGTAGAAATTGTTCTTCCGAACCCTTGCTCAGTCTCATGTTCCCTGATGTACCTGCACAGCTTCTCCAAGGTAATGTATCGCTGACTAAGGGCATGCTCACTGTATTGGTAGGACATTTTGACTGTGCTCTGGGCGTAATTGTGGTTGGATACATTTCAGTGTGGCAGAAATTGCAGTCAAATACATCCAGGGAAGTCCTAGTGCGAGTACGCCCTGACTGTGGCTATTCGTGATTGGCACCAATCGTTCTTAAAAACTCAACATTGGCCGACTCTGCCATACTGTGATATGAAGACAATCCATCCAAACTAATTTTACCATGATGACACTCTTCCAAGCATCCATAATTTGGTAGCCTCTGGCATAGAGGTCCACTCTTCCTGGCATCGACAAGTTTGTTCACAGTAAAGTTGAGTAAACACAGTAAAAGACAGTGAAACACAGTAAAACACAGTAAACACAGTAAACACAGTAAAACACAGTAAACACAGTAAACACACAGGAACAACTAGCCCATATGGCTGCATGGCACATCCACGTCGATTCCACGAACTGTTGATAACCAGACCTAAGTTCGAATCCTGAGGGAATCAGATGATAAATAGAATAACTGTGATTTACCTGGGGCTGGCCAGTTGGGTGATGATGTCTCAAGATTGTCGCCCTTATGGGCTTGTACATGTTCATTGACTTCAGTCAATGAAAACTATCATGATGCCAGCTTTGGCTGGGTTTCATTTAGGCAGAGTTCAATTTCATGCAGGACCTTGGGTTTAAAGTCTGTTGATGTATTTGAAACGGTATTCACCAGTTTGCAGTAGTGAATGCAGATCCCAGGGCTCGATCCCTAGTTCCCCATCTTACCTGTGTACAGTATTGATGTCAACTCATAGATTTGAACCTGCGACCTGTAGGATCGCCAGTGGTAGGTAGATTTTCGTAGGTCACCTGGGTAGGAGGGATTCGAACTGTAGACTTGTAGGGTAGGAGTCTAAACAGTCAGAGGTCGTAGCTGTGGACTGCCTGAAGAGTCAAGGTCGTACCTGCTACTTACCTGAAAGGGCAAAGTCGTAGCTGCTACAGTACTGAAAGGCCAAGTTAGAGAATTCTAGAAGTGGACTTTCAGAGTTAGCCTGCGTTCAACAGAGGCAAGTGGTCAAGTGGTGGTTGTCCACCTAGTACAGTCAGCAGTCCCAGTTAACCCAGTCCGGTCCAGTCAAGCAAGTACCATCTGGGACTGTGCACATCGTGGGCCAAGGGATACAGGGCAGACCAACGCAGCATAGAAGTATAAATCAAGAGGCTGCGCCCA